CCCCCCCCCCCCCCCCCTCCCGATGCCATTGGCAGCCACTCGGCAAAGTCCGTTGCTCAGCCGCCCTTCCCCCCCCCCCCCCCCTTACGGCGACGTCGACGGCACAGGCCACTCGACTCCATACTCACACTGCGGTGAGCCATGGACCCAGAACACGGAGAAAAGATAGCCCAGAAGGTGCACCATGCTTGCATGGTCTTTGCTTGTCATGTTGACGGCAAGACGGTGATTGCCGCCAGGTAGGCCTCCCTCCCCCTCTCCTCTCCCTTTCCCCACTCCCCCCCCCCCTCCCCACCCATCATCGAGGCACACACTCACCCTCCCTCCCTCCCTCTATTCTGCGCACATAGCGATGTCAAGTTTGTCTTGGCTTCATTGGGCATGGCACCGGATCTTAACGAGGTCGATGAGCTTGTTGAAGAGCTGGTCGATGTGGGCGAGGGCGTGGATGAAGGCGAGAGCGCTGCCGTCGGTGATGAGAGCACGGCGGTCGACGGCGGGGAGACAGGCAAGGCTGCCGGTACTGATGGAAATGGCGACAGAGAGGCGGCCGCGGCCGCGGATGGCGAGGCCGCCGGCGGAGGCGCGGCGCGGTTTGTGGCGCTGGTGGCGCTGGAGGAGGTGTGCATCCGGGCGGTGGTGGACAACAAGTACGCGCTGCCGTCTAGCAGTGAGTTGCAGGACGCGTTCACGGCGCTGGTCGCTCGTGGTCGCAGCTATCTTACGGCCGAGGAGTTCAAGACGGCGATGGTGACGGCGCGCGAGGAGGCGGGCGAGCGCCCGCTTGATGAGGCCGAGCTGTCGGCTGCGCTCTCGGCGGCAGTCAATCCTAGCAACGGCCGGATTGAGATTGCCGACTACGCGGCGATGCTACTTGATGTGGCGCACTTGAAGGCCTGACGCTCTGCTACGGCCGCGATTAGCGGCCGAGGACCCGGTTGACCTGCTCGACGTAGACAGCGTCGCCGAGCTTGTAGCGCTGTGGTGACGCCAGGTACGCCGCGATGCCCGGGAGGGCGACCATGGCGGCGTGGTGCGCGGCGAGGCATGGATAGGCGTCAAGGACGTCATGTCCCAGAACCTCAAGTGCGTAGCAGGTGAGCTCGACCAAAGTCACGTCCGGGTACGTCAGCTTTGCGCCGACAAAGTAAACCGACGACGCCGGGGCGCGCTCGAGAATGGCCTCGAATCGCGGAAAGTACTTGGCGGCAGCAGCGGCAGCGGCGTCGATGGCGGCGGTGCGATCGCGAGCAAACGGAAGCGAGGTGAACGCCCGCAGCGCATCGCGGATCGAGTCGGCGATCATGTCGGCCTCGACGGCGTCCTCGGGCGTGGCACCGTACAGATGGCCACGGCGGGCAAGATAGCGGACCATTGCCATGGACTGGACAAGATTGAGACCGTCGATCTCAAGCAGCGGCAGCTGGCCAAACAGCAGCCTCCCAGAGTCGCGGAGCGCCAGGAAGGCCTCGTGGGTGGTGACCGGCACAAACTCAAACTCAGTCTCGGTGGCGGCGAGCATGAGCCGGACGCTCTCGGCGAGGCCGCGGCCTTCAAAGTAGTGCAGTCGGGCCGGGCTTGCGACAGTGGGGATGGCTTCGCTAGTAGCTTGCGAGGACGACATAGCTCTTGGGAGGTCTGCGACTTGGCCTGTGCTAAATAACGTTGGGTGGTGCAACGAGTCAACGCGGCGCGGGCGAGCTGGCTGCCAGCGGGGCTCTACCTGCAAAGCGGCGAGTTGCGAATCGATGAGAGGCACGAGAGCCGCGGTGGATTTACGTTGCAGCACAGTGTGCTCAAACTGAGGGCACCTAAGAGCCGGAAGTCGTCTCGCTCGCGTGGGACGAGAGGACCGAGCTGGTGTAGACTGGCGAGGACGGATGGACACCGTCGGCGTGCGAGGTGGTGACGGTGCTGGCGGGCTCGGCTGAGGTCTCGCCGTCGATGTCAGACGAGAAGTGGAACATTGCACGCTTGTTGGCAATTGAGTTCGTCGCCGAGTTTCCGTAAGACTCGGAGCGGCCGCGCGGTGAGCGGTCCGAGTAGCGGGCGGCAAACTGGGCGACGCGCTCTGCGGCCATCTCGCGGGGCGAAATCATCCGAGAGTTGTCCTCCGAATCGACCGAAAGCGAGGCTTTGCCTGAGACAAGCGAGAGCGGGGCAACCTTGTTCGAACCGGCTTTGGGCTTGGCAAGCCGCGGCGACGGTGGCATGCTCGCGCTGCCGCGCCGGCGGCGAGCTGAGAGCGGCGAGCCGGTGGTCTCGGTAGCGAGAAGTTGAGGGAGAATGACCGAGGTGGAAGGTAAGGGGCGGTCTTCTCCGGCAGCGTCGGCCTCGGCGTCTGCGGCCGCCCGCTGGCGCACAATGTAGTCGTACGTCGATTCGCCCTTGTAGATAAGAAAGATATGAAAGGCGAGCAGGTGGGCAAGGAGGGCGAGGGCGATGGCGCAGAGCACACCGACGGTGCCCGAGACAATCGCCACCACTGCGAGCGGGACGCTCTCGGGGTAGACATTGTAAAAGTGCGAGTCGACCGAGGCCTGGTCAACAAAGTAGACAACAAAGACCACAAACGAGGTACCCATGAGGGTGACGGCCAGACCGGTCATGGTGACGAGGTAGGCAAAGAACCACGCATAGTTGCGATCGCCCACACATGTGTTCAGCCACATGCAGTGGTGATCAAAGCCCGCCACACACTTGCCGCACGTCCAGCAATGCTTGGTCCTTGGCGAGGTGGTGATCTGACACAGCCGACAGAAGAGCGTGTCGGGATTGATGGCAGGCTGCGAGTAGTCCGGCTCTGGCTCGGGAAGCTCCCATGGCCGGCTCTCAGCAAGCAATGGGTGCCCCGGATTGGTGCCGGTGAGCAAGAGCATGAGGCTGAGGGCGAGGACGAGAGCAATGCTGACAGCGACGCCGATGATCCATGCCACGGCGACGGGCATGGCCGGGAGGAGGAAGGCAATGAACAGGCCTCCAAGGACAACCTTCAGCACCCATGCAGCCAGTTGCGGCAACGAGAACGGTCGCTCAAAGCCATGCCGCCGTTGCCAGCTCCGTCTCCCGCACATAGATGCTCCTCCAAGTGCCCTGGCTGTCTGCGTTGACCCGCACCCACGCGTTCACAGGGGCTCCACCACCAGCCAAAGCGTGAAGTGCGGGGGTAGGGGGAAGGGGGGGGGGGGGGGGGGGCAGGAGGGGCGAGCGAGCGTGTGCGTGTGCGTGGTAGACTTTGCGTGAGACAGTAGCTCAGCCGTAATGTCGTGCCTTGGCTACGACGGCGATGTCTGTGTGACTCTTGCTCCTTCCCGCAGCAGGGAGTCAAGGAATGCTCGGTCCGCGGTTGAAGCCACTCTCAGCGGGGGAGAGAGGGGCGGAGGGGAGGCTGTTGTCCAATATTTGCAAAAAATGATGCTGCCGTTGATTGGCTGCTTGATTGGTCGTTGTCATGGTCTGTGGGGGGGAGGGGGGGGGGTCACGGTATGCCGTGATCGACCTGCCCGCTTCTCCCCGCGCTCGCCAACCCGACCGTTGCTCCGCACTCGGCCCGGCCACTGGCGGTTTGCTGACTCTCAGCCAAACGCCGACCCGCTCCACAACGGCGACGCCAACGTCCCCACCCACCAGCCACTGCTCTCAACCCAAACCAGAGCCACCTCCACACTACACCTTTTCCCCCCAAGACCCCATCCCCCCTCCCCCCCCTCCCACTCCGCTTACACACACACCATGGACTGGCAGGACGGCAACGAGTCGTACGACGGGACTCCGGACCTGGGCGTACGTACAGCTACCACCGCCCTCCCCTCCACCGCCCTCCCCTCCTCCCCCACCCCCCTTCCCCTCCCCTCCCCTTCCCCTACACATGCGTGCATGTGCCACTACTCACAATGGTGTGCTTCCTGGTGTAGGAGTACGAGGGCGAGAGACACCCGACGACGCGGGCGCGGCATGGCAAAGGCCGGGCGACGCTGCCGCATAACGATGGTTCTGGCCTCTTTGACGTGTACGAGGGCGAGTACTACGAGGGTGAGCGGCATGGACGTGGGCAGTACACGTACGCCAACGGGGCTCGGTATGAGGGCGAGTATGTCAAGGGCCGCAAGCATGGCGAGGGCACGTTCTTCTACCCGGACGGTGCGGTGTATGTGGGCGAGTGGGAGAACGATGCTCGTGAGGGCCGCGGCAAGTACACATACCCCAACGGCGACTCGTACGAGGGCCAGTGGCGACAGGGCCTCCGTTGGGGCGCAGGCGTCTACACCTACGGCGACTCGGGCTCGCGCTACGAGGGCCAGTGGGTCCGCGGTGCCCGCGATGGCGCCGGCCAGTGGATCCACCCGGGCGCCAAGTACAACTACACCGGCTCGTGGGTGGCCGACAAGCCGACGGCGGTCGGCAAGTTTACCTTTGACCACGGCGCCGTGGTCCATGGTCGCTACACGTCTGTCGTTGCCGAGACGTACTCTGAGGAGTCGGCGTCGGTTGTGCCCGAGCCGACTCTCCAGTGGACGGCCGAGACGTTTGACGTTGTCCCGCCGCCGGCCACCGCCACCGGCATGACTGCCGAAGAGATCCAGGCAGCCAACGCCGAGGCCGAGGCCGCGGTCCGTGCCGAGGCGCTTGCTGCGCAGTAAGCGTGCCCAGTTAAACATCCCTTGTCTAATCTCGTGGCGCTCGCTGCTTTTACCACTCGACGCTCGCACGGCCGGTCTTCTTCCGCTGAACGAGAGTGAGAAGAATGAGCAGCATACATGCACCAAAGTAGCCGACAAGTGCGGCAGCTGCGCACGCCATGCCGGCGCCAAAGGTGCCGGACGTCGGATCGATGTCGTCGCGGGCGAGCGCGACGTACACAATGAGCGCCGCGAGTTGGCACATACCCGCCAGAAGGCAGAGGCAGGCGGCGTAGGCGGTGAGCGGGCGCTGCGGCGTGAGCATGTTGGCCATCCGGGTCGGCGTCACTCGCCGCGCCAGGTACCACACCAGCAGCAGCGCGCCGACGTTGGCGACGACCGCCACGCAGCCGAGCACAAAGGCAATGCCGCCGCCGGTTCGCAGCCCATCGATAGACATGGCAGACTTGCTTGGATCCGGCATCATTTCATCAAGCGGCAACGAGTCGCCCGCACCTGCCAGTGGCTTGACGACCTTGCGGTTAGCCCAGGTCGAGTCGATTGAGTACTGGGCGAGGCCAAACCGGATGTTGACAGAGTACGCAAGCACAAGCTGCTCGCCACCAGATGAGCCACCACCACCACCACCACTACTACTACTGCTGCTGCTGGTAGAGGATGCGGTGGCGCTGCTACTCGTCGACGTCGAGATGAGGAGCGACGGCGGCGGCGGCGACGGCGGCGGCGGCGAGGCGATGCCACCACCGGGAGGCACGCTCCCACCATCGCCGGCCTCTGCCAGCAGGCGGAGATCGATGTTGACCCAGCCGCGGAGAAAGAGGGCAACGAGTGTAAAAACAAGACATGCGAGGAGGAGAAGGGCAGTAGCGAGGACAAGGTACGGACGCGAGGTGACAACCGACTCGACCACCTCTGTGGGCGCTTCCTTGGCGCCTGCCGTGCGGTGGGGAAGACCATCCGGATCCGACCACTCATCGATTTGCGAGTTGAAGACTTCCAACGATGAGCTCTTCCCCTCCGAGTACCCATCGTATCCACCATCATACCCATCGTCATCATCATAGCCATGCCCGTAACCATACCCGCTGCCACTACGGGAGTAGCCGCCTCGGCCCGAGTAGCTCGCCTCGGACTCGGTTGGCGGAAAGTAGGGCGTAGGCACTCGCCCCTGTCGTCTGCGTCCCCACATGATGTGTGCTGTATGACTGTGTGGGTTTGTGACTCTGGCTGTGGCTGTGGCTGTGGGTGGGGTGGTGGGTGGCGTGGAGTGCGGTGGTCTTGGCCGAAGCAACGGCTTGGCCGAAGCAACGGCCTATGATTGTGGCAACGATGCTGTAATCGTAGTTTGCGCCTTTACGGCGCCTTTACGGTACGGAATGGACAAATTTGTCCATCGCGCAAGCCGCGCTCCGGCGACGCTCCGCAGACGTCGCAACGTCCATGAATTGTTGCAAAAAGAGTAGAACAATGTGTTCATGGCTGCCACCACAGAAAATAGTCGGTGATGCAGGGATGGACGCCGCACGCGGCGCAAAAGGTCCGCGGCCGCGATCGATCGCTTACTATGAAGCTTCCGGCAGGCGAGGCAGTCGCGTCGCAACGGCTTGTTGGGGAGAGTGGTGATGACGAGCAGCCGCTTCAGAGGGACGCTTCCGCTTGCGCGACGGCGCGGAGCTGACAGCGTCGGCGCTGGCAGCGAGGGTGTCGATGATGTCGTGGAGAAAAGCCACACGAGCCATGGCGGGTCGTGGACTCGCGTCAGCGTGGTGGTGGTGTCGGCCGCCATCACGTACGGGCGCGCGTCTCACCTCAAGCCGCAGGCCGAGCAGGCGGGTGGTGTCGTTCGGTTGTAGTTGGTAGTAAGTTACGGTTCGGGTCCAATGCC